CATCGCCTGCAAAGTCTTTTGCTTTCGTAGGGAGTGATTTTCGTGTGCAAGTTTGGTACTATTCCCTCTAGGATTTTTCAAGTGTATATAATCATGCATCTCCCCCGCCTGCGTTCCAGGGAGTACAGGTTTAGGAACTTCAAGCATTCCCAGTAATTGAAGTGCTTTATCTCCGTTATGCGCGCCGTGAAGGTTCTCAATACATTTTCTAGGTGTGCAGCAATATTCCAGCCTGGACAGAACAAGCACCCTGAAGAGTGTCATCATGGCTTTGGCATCCCAGGTTTTGAAGGTTCTCATTATCCATCCTGTCATTTTTCTAGCAGATGCGATTGATACAGTGTTTTGGCCCTTGAAGGTGAGATCCTCTGACATGATCACTCCCACGTCTCTGGCATTAGTTTTTCGCTCTAATGTGTGGTTGGAATTTGTTTTATACTCCCATGAAGTTTTAATTTTCTTACGTTTTCCATAAAGGAGTAATTGAAATTTCTCATTGTACTTCATATCGTTTTCTGCAGCCCATTTGGTTGATGTCCGCCTGGAGTCTTGCAGTCTTCAATGGAGGACACTCATGCAAATTCGGGTGTCATCTGCAACGGAAGACACGGTACTGTGGCTTATATCCCTGTCTATGCCCGATATGAGGATGAGGAAGAAGATGGGAGCGAGTACTGTGCCTTGTGGAACAGAGCTTTTCACCGTAGCCGCCTCAGACTTTACTCCGTTGACTACCACACTTTGTGCTCTATTTGTTAGGAAATTATAGATCCACCTACCAACTTTTCCTGTTATTCCTTTATCACGTATTTTGTGCGCTATTACACCATGGTCACACTTGTCAAAGGCTTTTGTAAAGTCTGTGTATATTACATCTGCATTCTGTTTGTTTTCTAGAGCATCCAGGACTTTGTCATAGTGGTTCAGTATTTGGGACAGAGAGGAGCGACCTGTTCTAAACCCATGTTACCCTGGGTTGTGTAACTGATGGGTATCTAGATGGGTGGTGATCTTGCTTCTTAGAACCCTTTCAAAGATTTTTATGATATGGGACGTTAGCGCTATCGGCCTGTAGTTCTTTGCTATTGCTTTACTGCCCCCTTTGTGGGGTGGGGCTATGTCTGTTGTTAGCAGCTGTGGGACGGCTCCTGTGTCCATGCTCCCTCTCCATAGGATGTTTAAAGCACTTGATAGGGGCTTCTTGCAGTTCTTGATGAACACGGAGTTCCACGAGTCTGGGCCTGGGGAAGAATGCATGGGCATGTCATTTATCGCCTTCTCGAAGTCATTTGGCGTCAGGGTAATATAAAAAATTATTTTTGATCAACGACTCTGTCTGGTTAGTGGCTCACTAAAAAACTGAGTCATATTGGGACTTAAGTAGCTCACTCATTTCCTTGCTGTCATTTGTGTAAGACCCATCTCGTTTAAGGGCCCAATTGATTTGACATAGAAAAAGAAGTATTTTGGGTTTCTTTCAATTTCATTTATCTCTTATAGTTCTTCCCACATATTTTGGCTCCCGTAAGATTCCTTTAACTTTAGTTCGATGTTTGCTATTCTCTGACCAGTGTCTTCGTGCGTATTACATATATATTGGTCTCTTTTAGCCGCTCTGTTATTCTTTGCCTGTGTAGGGAGCGCCTTTCTCTTTCTAGTTTACATCTCCTTTTCCTTAAAGGAATATGCCTTGAGCATACCTCGAGTGCCACAGAGTTAATTTGTTCCAGACATAGGTTTGGATCCGTGTTGCTTAGGTTATCTTCCCAGTTCATATCACTTAGGGCCTGATTTACTTGGTCCCACCTTATGTTTTTGTTATTGAAGTTGAATTTGGTGAAGGCTCCCTCGTGACTGATCACATTTTGTTGGTCTGGGACCCCGCGCATACACGTTTGCACCTCTATTATGTTGTGTTCCGAGTATATCGTTTTTGATATGGTAATATTTCGTATCAAATTATCATTGTTAGTGAAGATGAGGTCCAGCATATTCTCTGATCTTGTAGGCTCTATTATTTGCTGGTTTAAGGTGAATTTGGTGCAGAGATTTAAAAGCTCGTGTGTGCGAGTTTTCATCTGAGCTGCCTCCTGTTGTCATTTCTGCTACATTATCTGCTATATTCATCCATTTTAGGTGCCTTAGGTTGAAATCTTCCAGGAGCAAGATGGTGGCAGGAGCTGGAAGATTTTCCAGAGAGTGATCAGTTTTCAAAAGCTGTTCATAGAATTGCTGGGAAGTTGCATCCGGAGGCTTGTAGACAACCACAATGACAAGGTTTTCGTTCTCGATCTTTACTGCCAAAACTTTAACATTATTTGTGGCATTTAGTAGCATATCAGTGACTGTCGTATCGGTACTGGTTGTAACCCAGGATCCATATTTCATTGTCAAGGTGATCCTTTATGTGGATCTGTGAAAACCTGGAACATTGCGTTTGATTGTGTAAGCAGTCCATGTATGAAAGGTATTTTGTTGTTTGTTGCTGGCTTCAGACCTTGTACATTAGCAAAGATGAATGTCGTGGAATTGGTGGTATGGGAGTGGGGGTCTTTTTTTTCCTGGTACTAATATCTGTTAGTTAGTTTAATATATTTATTATGCACCCCATACCCATCCTGTGGGCGGTAGTCAAAAGATTACAGAGGTACATAATTGGCCCAGGGACTGGACTCCAAAGTTTTGATAGCTGAGCAAGTTACAAAGGTAATGAGCTAGTTCTGGTCATAATCATGACCAAGTTACAAAGGTAATAAGCTCCAGGTAGAGCTTATTACCTTTGTAAAATAAGAAAATAAGAAAAAGTTTTGGAGTGAGATTAACAAGTTAAGAGAGCCTAGAGAACAAATGGATTTGTCAGTTAAAAATAGGAGAGGAGAGTTATTAAATGGAGAGTTAGAGGTATTAGGAAGATGGAGGGAATATTTTGAGGAATTGTTAAATGTTGATGAAGATAGGGAAGCTGTGATTTCGTGTATAGGGCAAGGAGGAATAACATCTTGTAGGAGTGAGGAAGAGCCAGTTGTGAGTGTGGGGGAAGTTCGTGAGGCAGTAGGTAAGATGAAAGGGGGTAAGGCAGCCGGGATTGATGGGATAAAGATAGAAATGTTAAAAGCAGGTGGGGATATAGTTTTAGAGTGGTTGGTGCAATTATTTTAATAAATGTATGGAAGAGGGTAAGGTACCTAGGGATTGGCAGAGAGCATGCATAGTTCCTTTGTATAAAGGCAAAGGGGATAAAAGAGAGTGCAAAAATTATAGGGGGATAAGTCTGTTAAGTATACCTGGTAAAGTGTATGGTAGAGTTATAATTGAAAGAATTTAAGAGTAAGACGGAGAATAGGATAGCAGATGAACAAGGAGGCTTTAGGAAGGTAGGGGGTGTGGGACCAGGTGTTTACAGTGAAACATATAAGTGAACAGTATTTAGATAAGGCTAAAGAGGTCTTTGTGGCATTTATGGATTTGGAAAAGGCGTATGACAGGGTGGATAGGGGGGCATGTGGCAGATGTTGCAGGTGTATGGTGTAGGAGGTAGGTTACTGAAAGCAGTGAAGAGTTTTTACGAGGATAGTGAGGCTCAAGTTAGAGTATGTAGGAAAGAGGGAAATTTTTTCCCAGTAAAAGTAGGCCTTAGACAAGGATGTGTGATGTCACGTGGTTGTTTAATATATTTATAGATGGGGTTGTAAGAGAAGTAAATGCGAGGGTCTTGGCAAGAGGCGTGGAGTTAAAAGATAAAGAATCACACACAAAGTGGGAGTTGTCACAGCTGCTCTTTGCTGATGACACTGTCTCTTGGGAGATTCTGAAGAGAAGTTGCAGAGATTGGTGGATGAATTTGGTAGGGAGTGCAAAAGAAGAAAATTAAAGGTGAAATACAGGAAAGAGTACGGTTATGAGGATAACAAAAAGATTAGGTGATGAAAGATTGGATATTCAGATTGGAGGGAGAGAGTATGGAGGAGGTGAACGTATTCAGATATTTGGGAGTGGACGTGTCAGCGGATGGGTCTATGAAAGATGAGGTGAATCATAGAATTGATGGGGAAAAAGAGTGAGTGGTGCACTTAGGAGTCTGTGGAGATAAAGAACTTTGTCCTTGGAGGCAAAGAGGGGAATGTATGAGAGTATAGTTTTACCAACGCTCTTATATGGGTGATGAAGCGTGGGTGATGAATGTTGCAGCGAGGAGAAGGCTGGAGGCAGTGGAGATGTCATGTCTGAGAGCAATGTGTGGTGTGAATATAATGCAGAGAATTCGTAGTTTGGAAGTTAGGAGGAGGTGCGGATTACCAAAACTGTTGTCCAGAGGCTGAGGAAGGGTTGTTGAGGTGGTTCGGACATGTAGAGAGAATGGAGCGAAACAGAATGACTTCAAGAGTGTATCAGTCTGTAGTGGAAGGAAGGCGGGGTAGGGGTTCGGCCTAGGAAAGGTTGGAGGGAGGGGGTAAAGGAGGTTTTGTGTGCGAGGGGCTTGGACTTCCAGCAGGCATGCGTGAGCGTGTTTGATAGGAGTGATGGAGACAAATGGTTTTTAATACTTGACGTGCTGTTGGAGGTTGAGCAAAGTAACATTTATGAAGGATTCAGGGAAACCGGCAGGCCGGACTTGAGTCCTGGAGATGGGAAGTACAGTGCCTGCACTCTGAAGGAGGGGTGTTAATGTTGCAGTTTAAAAACTGTAGTGTAAAGCACCCTTCTGGCAAGACAGTCATGGAGTGAATGATGGTGAAAGTTTTTCTTTTTCGGGCCACCCTGCCTTGGTGGGAATCGGCCAGTGTGATAATAAAAAAAAATAATATTTATGTATATATATATATATATATATATATTATATATATATATATATATATATATATATATATATATATATATATATATATATATATATATATATATATATATATATATATATATGTGTGTGTGTGTGATTTATTTGTTTATTTATTTATTTATTTTGTGACTTGTAAATAAATAATTTGACCCATGGAGTGGAGGCGGCCATCATGGCGAAGTTGACCGAGACAGAGGTCCCTCACAATGTTTGCTAATAGGCGCTAATATTTGCTGGTGGGCGCTTATCAGCGACACTTGGAGTTGAAGTATGGAAGGTACATCAGAAGACCTACAGTTGTGGAAACACAAGGTAAGAATAACTAGTGAGCGTCATGGGTGATACAGAGCGTCAACTCTTGCCTTGTACCCGGCGAGAGTGGCGTCGCCGCCGCCAGTCATGGCCAGAGTAATGCACATAAATATAATACAGTACAATACAATTTTGTTTAGCAAGTTTATTTACTTACAGATATGCATAAATACAGTTATACAGATTATCATACATCGTAATATACGTGTAAATTACTTAGGATAAACCCCAAGAAGTCAGTGACTTATTTCCATTGAGATCCTTGTAATGTCTTATTTAAATTTTATTACAACATGACATTGTTTATACAGACATGTGTAACACTTGAGACTTATTTAAGTAAATAATCCCTCGTGGGAGGTTGTTTGATGCTGTTGGGGCTCTTGATTACGAAATTTTAAGTTATTCTCCACTTTTTGGGGGCCCCTGAAGGGTCTCTTGATCAAGATGCTGTATAGTCCTTGTGGCTTAGCGCTTTTTTTTATTATAATAATAATTGATCCAGGGAATTTAAATTGTTTCACTTGGCCACTGAAGGGAGGTTGTGATGCTGGTCAGTGGCTCTTGATGAAAAGAATTGAATTTCTCCTTCTCTTGGATCAAATCCGATTGCCTTCCCTGTGGGTTTAGCATTTCCCCAATAAATATAATCCTGCCACTTCCTTGGATCAAACATGTTTGCCTGTCATCCTCCAGACTCTTGGTTTATAGGCAAACTGCCAGTGACGTCACACCGCTCGCCCCACAATTTTCTTATGTGAATATGACCCTTGTGGGTCTAGCACTTAGTTTTCATTGTAGATAAGAATTACGGTAGTGTGCAGCCTTCAAGTAAGGTGTGCCTTGATACTGGCAGCTTTTTGTTTCAGGTAAGAGGAGATAATAATCTGCAAGTGCTTTAGACCTTATTTATTTATTATTAGAAATTTTAGCATACAACAGAGGTACAAAAAATGATACAGGTAAGAGCAGCATGCCAACGCCACCTTTCATGCATAGCATTTACGGCTGGCCTTAAAATTAAGGCTTAAGATTAACTATGCAATGATGAATCAGTGATAAAACATTATTGTAACAGATAAAAATATAAAGTTAGAATTTGGGTCCTAGGTTTAACATTTGTGTGATATAATTGTGATAACCTATAGGATATACAATTTATAAGGTTCAGTTATCAGTATTTATTTGGTTTTGAGTGAGTAAATGGATCTTTGGAAGAGACTTGAATTATAACACAGAGATTCTTTATATTCACAGGTTAATGTATTCCTGATGTTAGGCCTTTTATGTGCATTGAGTTTTTTTGCATAGTTGAGATGGACACGTGGAACATTAAAGAGTGAGCTTGCCCGTGTTATGGGCATGGGTTTCTGTTTGAGTGTTGGTATGGAGATGTTTGAGGGGAAGGAGTATGTCAGAGTTTTAAGTGTTCCTATGTATAGTAGGTGCAGTAATAAGTATGGATGTTTTGTATTGTAGTAAGTTTTAGTGGTATTGAATATTGGGTGGAGTTGTGCCTGCCTGTAGTGGAATTTATCATTCTGACGGCAGCCTTTTGTGGGTGATTAATGGTCTAGATAGTTTATAATTGTTGAGAGCCCCATGCACAAATGCATAGGTGAGATAATGGGTTATCCTTGACATGTTAAGAGATTAAAAATTTAATTGGATATTTAACCTTGGAAGGGTTATCTAGGCCATGATAACTCAAAGCCAGTGCATCCAATCGCATACTGTCTGTCTTATTTTTCCATTGTGGTCCTTTTAATCCTGGCACCTGGATTCGACGGCCACACCAGTCGCCTAAAACACCCAGGTACCTACTTACAGCATGGGTGTCCTGTGCTTGCTTTGTAATGCTCTTGTCTAACAGACTGAGTGTCAGTGGTTCGATCTTCTGCATGGGGGAAACGTGGCATATTGTACTTTACACTTGCTGGCCCTGTTGCACCAGAAGTAGTATCTGGGTTTAGTGACTGTTATGGGTTGCATCCTGGGACAAGATTAAAGACCACAGTGTAATAAGGACACAGTACCTCAATGATGGCACTGACTTTCTTGGGTGACTGGGTGGCTACTACTCCTCCCCTATGTTAAAGAGTCCCAAATAAATCTTATCATTCCCGATGTCTCGGCGCCTCCGGCCCGCCCTCTAGGAAGGCGTTCCTTGATGTTGGTGGAGGGCTCTTGATTTTAGGGAATTGGATCTGTGGCTCCAGTTTTCCTCCGAATTAAGCCGCTGAATGCCTTCCACAGCCCGACCCAGGCGCTGTATAATCCTCCGGGTTTTAGCGCGTCCCCGTGCTAAATAAATATTCCACCTGTGCGGGTGATCAAACCATGGACATTGTGAGTGAGCTTTCATTGATTAAAGTTTCACAAATCATACAGGTGACCTAAATAAAGACTCTCCCCCCCCCCATTTATCCCCCCCACTTTTGAAGGGTCCTTATTGCTGTAAAGGAACACTATCGAAAGAATTGTAATTGTGCGTCCCATTCCGTTGGATCAAACTTGATTGTCTTGCATTTCTCCATTGCCCTGTGACACCTATGATTTTAGTGCTTCCCAAAATGTACCAGTAATGTGAGATTACCTCCGCGCCTTTTTACTTCTAAAAAAATGTCTAAGGTTTTTTTAATCTCTGGTTTTGTCCCAGTGTATACATAGTTTGTGTAATAATATTTTGTATTTTTAAGTAAGGTAGAAGTTAAATTTTTTTTTTATTTAGAGGAAGGAAGGTTATTTATGCCTCCAGACAGAATTGGAAACTTATGCATTGTATTTAAATTATTTAGAATTTAACCAGGATACCCCTATTAAGTCCAGTGACTTTTTCATTGAGGTCATTGTTGGGAATGAAACATACTTCCCAGGAATTCTTCATTAGCTGATATTTTGAATTTTATTGAATTTGTGTTTTCATTATTACCATATTCCCTCTCCCCAATTATTTGCAGTTGGATGAGGATTGTGGGGCTTTGTCAAGTCTGCTGCAACCTGGAGATCACAAAGTGTTGCAAAGAAAGTTTGGTATGCAGCACTTAAGCAAATCCAGACTTTATGGAAAATCTTCAACCAGTACGAAATTCCTGAGGTGAGAATAAAACTAAGACATGAGCTTGGTTTGTTGTGGCAAATGGACATGTGTCCTGACACCTGCCTGCCGTTAGTAACCTAGTATTTGCTAACTGGTGTGGATTGTATCCTTGGGGAAGAGGATTGAAGGACTCCAGTTGAAAGTAAACCAGTCTATTTTATTAACATAGCCTTTAGTGGGTTTATATCATCTGTGTAGTAATTAAAGTCTATTTAGGTACAGTTTATCATAACCTATTAACAATGTGTAGATGACCTAGTCAGAGTGACTGTTGAGTCGCTTACGCCGGCTCTTATTAGCAGCAATAATACCCAGAGCTGCTAATAAGGAGGATATATTGGCTGTGATTGCCCTTACATAAGAGTGGCCATTATTTCTGTTTCAACAGGACTGAAATTGCATGCAGTGCAGCATCTCGCCAATACATTTTCAGGACCAGGGAGACATGTTTCCAGTCCCTCTTTCAAGACTGTAGGCCTAAATAAACTCCCCATGGGACTCCTGAAAGTGATGCTCATCAAGTAAAAGGCAAAAATCCTTACATCACTGCAAAGGGAACTGAAAACAATCCTTGGTTTTTTGGAGCAATGTGGTTCCCCCATATGTCTTTCCAATGTCATTCTACGTATAGACATTTGGTTGAAAAGCTTTGTACCCATGGGTAAACCCTCTTGTCACGATGGGCAAAAAGTGAAGAGAGTGAAGTTTTGCAAGACATACTGTGAGTGGGGTTTGGAGGAGTGGAAATAAGGTCACTTTGTCCTGACCTTTTTCTGGGTTATGCCAGGTACTTTACACATATGTTAAACTATATATGATAATTCACTTACGTGCATCTGGTACCTATGATAAACTTATGAATCAACTGTTGCAGAGGTTGGTTGTGTGATGGTTGGTTGTGACTGGGTACCTCATTCTGACCCACACCCTCTCACATACACTGCCAAAACTGTGATACAGCATGCATATCCTTATGGTGTGGAGAAGGTTTCATTTATTATGGTGTTCAGTTAATATTTATATGTCCCAACTGTCATTGATGAATTTTGGATATTTTACATATTTCTTCGAAAAAGTCAAAGTAAGCACTTTTATGCTAGAGTACTCCTTGCTACACCACTCAAACTGTTAAAAAGTTATCTGATTAGAAGTGCCCTAGTTTTTTTTTCAAGGAGGCCAGGTAAGAACCCAGAATAAACGCAATAGAATTTCATGGTCACTTTGTGAAACATCAACTTAAAGACTGTGACGAGTGCTCCATCCCAAAGCTAGAAGGGCATGAAAGACATCTTGACACAACTCCTCAATTGTGACTAAACAGTTTTCCTCTGAATCACTTCGTGTTTGTTAATTTTCTAACACTCCGTCCAAGAGCATGTCAAAAGCATTAAAATCACTAGTCCCATTCATACCTGTCTGACACACAAATCCTACTGGATTTCATCCCCTAACACTCAAAACTCCACTTTATCTCCCCTTCCAGTGTTCCTGGGAAGGAACTCCTTCTGGCCTATGATTTATATACCCTGAGTGTTGAGCCATATTTTGCTCCTTCCTCTCTAATTTTCTCAACGACTTTATATCTCTCCTCTGCTCTATGCTTATACCTGATTTATCCCATATGTATGGGTCAAAATCATTGAATACCGTGCAGATAAAATTCCGTTATTATAGACATGAAATATAAACAAACAAATTAATAAACTCTATGGGCAAAAACATGTTTAACCACGAGGCATAAGAACCTCTGTTTCCACTGTATGCCTAAAAGTTACCTAATGCTGTAGGTGGCTTTTATGCAGGACCAAACTTGATGGGAAGGATGAAAATTATGCTAAACATTTATAGTATTTAACTTTTAAACCTCTTTCAAGGGGGGCTCCTTGGCGTGTGAAAGAGG